TTGGACCTAGCAACAGCATACATACATATAAGTACATGAAAATACTGGCAATATTCCTGGATGTATCCAGAAAGAACTCATAATATTCATTACCTCTGGGGAAGAGAATAAGGATATAGGAGGTTACGAATTGAGAAATTATTTTCTAACATTATTTTTTGAATTAGCTTGCAGTATTTATGGCAATTTTTTTTGGTGTGCAATTGTATGAATTCCAAAGCATGTAGAGCAACTTTTAAAGTGTCTTTTAGGCAAGTAATGATTAGCTGGAAAAGAACTTTAAAAGCACGGATATGTTTGGGGTGCTGTTGAGTTGTTTCTGATTGATAGCACTCCGAGAACAAGACAATGAAATATTACCTCGTCCTGCACTCCTCACAATTGTTGCTGTTTGAGCACATTATTTCAGTCCTGTATCAATCCAGCTCAGTGACGGTCTTCCTTGTCTTCACTGACCCTCCACTTTACGAAGCACGATGTCCTTCTCCAGGTACTGAGCCCTCCTGATAACATGTCCAAATAGGGTATAAAAATAGTAATGCAGTGAATTCTTTGCACTAATCAGTCACTTTTGTAAGAACATGAGTGTCATGTTCAAAGCTTCCATGAGTCTCTTTCCACACTCCTCTCTCTTCTCTAAGAAGGAACCACAATCTTGAGTTTGAAGTCTATAATTCTCCTGTTTTCTTTTATCACAAGTCTTTGCATCTCTAAACAATATCTTTTTAAATTGTCATAGAATGAGCTTATCTAGATAAAATTATGTTGTATACTTCCATAACTTTTTCTCTCAATATCATGTTTTTTATATTGATTCATTAATCATATTGGAGAATGGTGTGGCACTGTGGGTTAATGCACTGGACTGCAAAGTCGGTTTGAACCATAAGGTCAGTGGTTCAAGCTCACCAGCCGCTCCTAGGAAATACTATACAGGGTCACTATAGGTTGGAACTGACTCCACAGCACTTAATAATAGCAATGACAGTGGTGTTAGATGTGGCCCTGATTCACTCACTTATTTACAGAATAGCACTCTATTACATAACTACCTACAATTTGTCTATTAATTCTATGGTGGGTGGGCATTTGTGATGCATCCCATTCTTTTTTCTTTGTGTCAGTAGAGTAGGACTGCTGTGAGCTTTACTCTGGATATCTGCTCAGACAAAGATTTCATAGGTTATTCCTGTCTTCAAATTCACTTCTTGTTGTTGTTTTTAAGTGCCGTCGAGTAGGTTCCAACTCATAACGACCCTGTATAGGGTTTCTGAGTAGTGGCTAGTGAGTTTGAATTGCCAACCTTACAGTTCAAACTGGCTTTGCAGTCCAGCGCATTACCCCACAGTGTTGCACCAGGACTCCTCAAATGCACTAGATAATGACAAATTGTTTGGATTATCATAAAACTTCACAGTCCCAGGAATAGTGTTCTAAGGTTTCATTGCTACAAGTTTAATATCTTCAGACCTTTGGATTTGTGCAAAAAGGAGCCCTAGTGGTACCACAGTAAAGCACTTGGCAGCTAAGCAAAAGCTGACCATTCGAACCCACCTGCCTGCATTGAGGTAGGCGGTTAAAACTCACCAGCCACTCCTCGGAAACCCTACACAGAGTTGCTATGAGTCGGAACAGACTTGACGGCACCTAACAACAACCTGCCCTGAAAGTGAAAGACCTGACTGTTTATTCTCATAAAAATGACAGCCTAGGAAACACCATCGGGCAGTGCCACTCTGCCACATGGGATCGCTGTAAGTCAGAAGCAACTCAACAGCATCCAACAACACACTTACACTGATTCCGTGATGTGAAACTGTTTCTAATCTTGGTTTTAATTTTCCTTGATTCCCAAGATGGCCATGTTCTTATGCTTTGAGCATGGTGAGGTATTCATGACGAACGTTTGTACAGTTTTTTCTATTGAAAAACTATTTGCTCATATTGAATGACCAATTTTCTGTATATCCAACTTAGGAATCTGTTGTTTTGCAAATTTATTTTTCCAGCTGTGACTTTTGTTATTTTTTTATACAGTGTTCATGATTTCTTTTTTTCATCCTTTTTATATATTCCTGGATTTGACTTACCAATATATTTTTTAGTGTGGTAAATATATGTATAACAAAACAATTGCCATTTCAACAGTCTTCACATGTAAAATTCAATGACGCTAATTATGTTTGTCTTGTTGTTCAACCAATACCATTATTAATTTCCAAAATTTTCCCTCACCCTCAATAAAAGCTCAGTGTTCCTTAAACAAAAACTCCCGTTTTCCCCTTTCTCTGATCCAACTCTAGTAACCACTAAGAAACTTTAGTGTCTATGCATTTGCCTATTTTAGATATTTCATATAAATGGGAATCATTTCAATAAGAACAATTTTAAAATCACTTCCCTCCTCATTTTTAGTTTTCTATATCCAAAGATATCCTTCAATATAGTTTTACAAAACTTTAGAGGTTTTTCAGTTCACCTAAAATTGACTTTCTTGTACATGTGGTAGGAGTTCAAGTTAATGAGTAAGTTCAACTTACTGTATCTCTTTTTCCTTCTTTTGATAACCCAAGCATCACTGATTGAACAGCCCCTTTCCTCTCCATTGAGCGTCAATATAAATGATGTGGCAAATCAAGTTCATTTATGTCCGTGGGTGTGTTTGGTGGGCTCTCTGTACCTGACATTTAATTTTCCATGATAAAGTTTAGTTTGACGACTAGAACACTCTGAGGAACGTAGGATGAAGAGGGACTATAAAGAAGCAGATTTTGTTTAAAACATAAATTAAAAGAAGCCTAATTTCCTGTCCTTCCCTTTTCTTCTCTGTCCTTCAGGTACACCAGATTGTCTTTTCCATGAAGGTGCCAAGCTCCTTCCTGACTCAAGGTATTGGCATTTATTTCTCTTCTCTGCTAAGTACGTTCTTCCTTCATATTGTCATATTGTTTTCAACTATCAAGAGTAAGCATAAATATCACCTCTTGCCCCAAAAACACTTTCTCTGAATTTTTCTTCTAAATTAGCCTTCTCTAGACATTTTCAGGAGTTCCTAGGTAGTGCAAATAGTTAAGGGTGTGGCTAACCAAAGGTTGGACTCTTGAACTCACCCAAAAGCACCTCATAAGAAAGACCTCGTGATCTGTTTCCACTTCAGAAAAAAACCAGGCAAACTCCATGGATCAATTCTACTCCAGAATACGTGGGCCACCATGAACTGAAATGTACTCAACAGAAACTGGTTGGTTGATCAGGTGGTTGGTTGGTTAATTAGTAGGTTAGTAAATTAGTTAGTTAGTCAGTCAGTCGATCGGCTGGTTGGTAGATTGGTTGGTTGGTTGGTTGGTTGGTAGGTTGGTTGGCTGGTTGGTTGGTTGATTGGTTGGTTGGTTGATTGGTTGGTTGGTTGGTTAGTAGGTTAGTAAATTAGTTAGTTAGTCGGTCAGTCGGTCGGCTGGTTGGTAGCTTGGTTGGTTGGTTGGTTGGTTGGCTGGTTGGTTGGTTGATTGGTTGGTTGGTTGGTTGGTTGGTTGGTTGGTTGGTTGGTTAGTAGGTTAGTAGGTTAGTAAATTAGTTAGTTAGTCGGTCAGTCGGTTGGTTAGTTGGTAGATTGGTTGGTTGGTAGGTTGGTTGGCTGGCTGGCTGGTTGGTTGGTTGGTTGGTTAGTAGGTCTGTTCGTTGCTTGTTTAGTTGGTAGATTGTTTGGCTAGTTAGTGGATTGGTTGGATGTTTCATTAGTTAGTACATTGGTTGGTTGGTTAGTTGGTTGGTTGGTAGACATTGCCAACCCCATCCATCCTGTTCTGCTTTCTCCTTAGCACAATGTCACTCAAATTCTTTCATTTCTATATTTATCCCTTTGTTTATCTTTTCCACAATTCAGTTGTTGATATTACATGTCATCAAGTTGGTTGTGACTCATAGAAACTTTGTCTAGGATTTCTGAGGAATGGCTGGTGGGTTTGAACCTTGTGGTTAACCAACCTTGTGGTTAGCAGTCCAGTACTTACCCAACAGTGCCACACCAGAACTCCCTACAAGCCAATGATAGGCCAAAATAGTCTACTTTCCACATCTCAGTTGCCTAAAATAATCAAATTGGTTTCCCAGTATTAATGTCAGAAACAAAAGTCCCTACTTTTAGGAGACAGCATGAAGCAATGGATGAATTCCCAAGAGATGGGCATCATTGGCAGAGAAGTCAGACAGATTTGCAGTGTTCTAGCTGTGTGTCCTTCAACAAGTCACTAAGCCTTTCTCACCCTTGGTGATATCATGTATGTGGGTAGTCTAGGTAGACAGTTTCCATAATCAGCTACTAATCAAAGGGTTGAAGGGAGACTGTTGTTGTTGTTAGGGGCCATCGAGTCGGCACCGACTCATAACGACCTTATGCACAGCAGAATGAAACAATGTCCTATTCTGGGCCAACCTCACTACTGTCGGACTAAGGTCCACCAAATTGAACAGAAATCATCATCATTGCTTGCTTTATAAAGCACTTTTTCATGCATTGTCATCATAAGAAGCCTTAATAGAATAATGGTTAAGTGCTCAGCAGCTAGCCAAAAGATCAGCAATTCAAACTTACCAGTGGTTCTCCAGGAGAAAAGACGTGGCGATCTGCTTCCATAAAGATTACCGTCTAGGGAACTGTGTGGGGCAGTTGTGCATAAGCTTCCTATGAATCAGAATTGACCCAAAAGCACACAACAACAAGAAGTACATCATAGTGATAGATTTTATTTCCCATTTTATAAATGAGCTTGATGAGGTTTGCAAAGGTTGGGTGACTTGCGTAAGATCACAGATTTTAAAAGTGTAGGTGGTGAATCTCCTGTTTCCAATTTTGCAGTTGTCCACTGGTTCTCTCCACAACAATCATCAAGCAACAATTACATTGCTTCTAGGGGCCCAAATCATATAAGTTCTTCCTCTCTTTACCATTGTAATTCTGCACCTACCAAAGTCTTTATAAACCTATTTCTTTCTTCACTTAGATGGAGAAATCTCTGGAGTTGGCCAACATGACTGGAGTCCAGGAGTTTATCCTGATAGGTTTGTCCACAAGGGTGGGCATAAAGGATGCTCTGTTTACCATCTTCCTGACCCTCTACCTGCTGACCTTCTTGGAGAATGCTCTCATCATCTACCTCATCTGCAGTCACAGTGAGCTCCACAAGCCCATGTACTTCTTCCTGGGCAATCTGAGTTGTCTGGAGTTGTGCTATGTGTCAGTGACCATGCCCAGCCTGCTCGTGGGGCTGTGGTTGGGGCCTTGCCACGTGCCCTTCATAGCCTGCATAATTCAGCTATTTTTATTTATATCCCTTATTGGTACCAAGTGCACCCTCCTGGCCTCCATGGCTTATGACCGCTATGTGGCCATCTGCCGTCCACTCCACTACCCACTGCTCATGCGGCCCCAGGTCTGCCTGGGCTTGGCTATGACCTCATGGCTTGGTGGTCTACTCTTCTCTGTGATCAAGACTGCATGTATCACAAGCCTCTCCTACTGTGGTCCCAATGTCCTCAACCACTTCTTCTGTGATGCCTCCCCTCTGCTCAACCTGTCCTGCAACCGCATGGCCCTGACAGAGCTGGTGGACTTCATCTCTGCCATCATCATCTTCTGTGGGTCATTACTAGTTTCCCTGGCCTCATATGTGGCCATTGGTAGGACCATACTGTGCATGCCATCGGTTGCTGCCCGCTGCAAAGCCCTCTCTACCTGTGCCTCTCATCTAGCTGTAATGGGCATCTTCTACTCGGTGGTCCTCTTCATGTACTCAAGACCCAGTCACATCGAATCCACAGACCTCAACAAGGTGCTGTCAGTTGTCTACACAGTGGTGACACCCATGTGCAGTCCCATCATCTACTGCCTGCGGAACAAGGAGGTCCACACAGCATTAAGGAAGACTGTACACCCCCGCTGAGTTCCTCCAAAGAGAAGTGGACATTTTCCTGCTCCTGACTTACAATACATGCACAACATACTCAACCTCATTAGCCATTGTTGTTGTGGGGTACTGTTAAGTCAATTTTGACTCATGGAAACCACATGTGACAGAACGGAACTGCCCTGTAGGGCTTCCTAGGCTGTAATATTTACAAAAACATGTTAGCAATTCTTTCTCCCACAGAGCCATTGTATGAAGTCTAACTGCCAACCTTGTGATTTCAGTTAGCAGTTACATGTTTAATCACTGTACCACCGTTGCATCGGTTTCAAATCAGCGACCCTGTATAGGGTTTCCAAGGAACAGTTAGTGATTTGAAACTGCCGGAACTTGTCACTAATAGTAGTCCAGTGCTTATCCTATGGTACCACACCAGGACTCCACTGTACCACTGTTGTTAAGTGCTGCCAAGTCAGTTCCAACTCAGAGCAACCCTACATAGGGTTTCTGAGAAGCATCTGGTGGGCTTGAACAACCAACCTTGAGGTTAACAGTCCAGTGCTTATTCTACAGTGCCACACCAGGACTTCTAGGGTTCCTTTATTAGTCATTGCTATTCTTACATGCCGTAGAGTTGGTTCTGACTCATAATGACCCAGTATGGGGTTTCTGAGGAGCAGCTAGTGAGTTTGAACTGATAACCTTGCAGTTAACAGTCCAGTGTTTATCCTACAACACCACACCTGGACTCCTTATTAGTCACTGTTGTTGTTAAGTGCCATTGAGTTGGTTCTGACTCATGGCAACTCTGTATAGGATTTTTTAGGAGCAGCTGGTAAGTTTGAACTGCTAACCTTGCAATTCAGACCGACCTTGCTGTCCAGTGCTTATCCTACAGCACCGTACCAGGACTCTTCTTTGTCATTGTTGTTGCTGTTAATTGCCATCAAGTTGGTTCCAACTCATAGCTATCCTGTATAAGATTTTCGAGGAGTGGCTGGTGAGTTTGAACAGACAACTTTATGGTTAGCAATCCAGTGCTTATCCTGCACCCCTATTAAAATGACAATGTTCAAAAACCAAAACAACGGGAAGAAACAAATGTTGATGATGTTGTGTAGAAACTAGAACCTTAATTCATTGCTGGTGGGAATGTAAAATGGTACAGTGACTGTGGCAAGCAGTTTGACAGTTTCTTAAAAAGTCAAACATGGAACCTACCATATGACACGGTAACCCCAATCCTGGATTGAAACCCAGAAGAAGTAAAGGCAGGAATGCAAACAAAAACTCTACACCAATGTTCATAGCAATAGACAAAAGGTAGAAACCATTGAAATGTCCATCAACAGATGATGGACAAACAACACGTGTTATCTACACACAATGGAATATGGCTCAGCCACCACGAGAAACGAAACTTTGATGCATTCCACAAAGATGAACCTTGGAAATATCCTGTTGAGTGAAATAAGCCAGTTACAAAATGATAAATGTACGATCTCACATGAAATAAACAATGTATAGGAACCAAAGAGTATTGCTGGCTATGGGGGTAGGAGAGGAGGGGAAATGGGGTGTTTTTGCTTAGGGGGCATTGAATCTATGCTAATGGTGGTGGAATTCTTTGGAAAAACATAGTGAAAATGGGGGCACAACATGAAGAATAAAATCAGCATCACTGAATTATACGTGTAGAAATTATTACGATTGTGTGTATTGTTATATGTCTCTTTCCACTGTGATGAGAATAAGCAAAGACCCCAAGCTCAAGTTTCAAAGGCAAATAGAAACATGGACAGAAATTTTTGCAGCATGATCCATAAAGTCTTTCTAAAATAATGAATGCTTCAAAGGAAAAACCAAAGGAAAATGGTCAGGAAAAGGAAGATTATTGAAGAAGAAATATAACTGGCAGATAGCCTACAGAAAGATATTCAATTGTTCTATGAACTCAAAAAACACAGATTTAAACAGAAGACAGTAAATTATCCTTTGAAAAATATTTTATGTGTACAATATAGTACAGATAACATATATACAGATCTGTATTTGGGGTCACCAAATGCATGTACAAGAATGCTTACTTCAAAATTGTGAATTTTGGAGTAAATATTATTTTATTGGAAATCGTTTGAGATTATATTAAGCATCCAGTGATATTTGATTATTTAAATATCTTACATTCATGCTGAGAAATAACATACCAACATTGAAGGAATTAAACCAGACCCATAGATCCTGATGTGGGGAGATAGCCTAGGTATGTTGTTGAGTTTTTTTAAAAATCAGCAATTAAGTATGTTAAAGTTTTTGTAAAACAATAATAAAAATGCTGTTCTTGTTGTTGTTAAGTATTGTCAAGTTGCCTCTGACCCATAGCGACCCTGTATACGGTTTCTGAGGAGCAGCTGGTGAGCTTAAACCGCCGACCTTGCAGTTCAAACAGCATTGCAGTCTGGTGCATTACCCCACAGCATCACCCCAGGACTCCATGATAATCCTAAGAACTGTGATAACTATTTATGTTATCCTGGTGTGGTGCTGTAGGATAAGTACTGGAACAAAAGGTTGGTTTGAACCACAAGACCAGCAGTTCAAACTCATCAGTCACTTCTCGGAGACCCTATACAGGGTCACTATGAGTCGGAATCAACTCGACAGTATGTAACAACATGGCTAGACAGGAATCTGAAACACTATATATAGCAGTTACTAGTAGGTACTTTTAGGAATAGGGCTACGTGGGATTCATATTTACTATTTTATGTATTTGAATAATTTTGCAATAAGCTTATGCTATTTTTAAAAGCTGGGAAAATAAGCACAATATAAAATGGAAATGTAAAAGTTGGCCTTCTATAGAATAATGTATTTATCACACTGGCAGACTTTTAAATTTTATTTTAAGTAATAGTATCTCACGATGACAATGCCTCAAGGGAAATGAACGCATCATGGTGACATTTGTACGAACGTAAACTAGAACATCTTAGAATACACATTTATTCATACAAAAATCTTTGAGGACCTGAATGACCTTGAGCCCATCAGTTACACTTTGAGAATTTACTTTGGTGAAAAGACCAACGTTCACAGCAGTATGGTTCACAATAGCCACACACACACACACACATGAAGTGGAAACAACCCAAATGCCCATCAGCTGATGAATAAGTAAACACAGGTGGTATATCCATCCAATGGAATATTATTCAACTACAGGGAAAAAATAGAAGGAAGTATATGATACATGAGTTAACCTTGAAAACATTGTGTTACGTGAAAGAAGCCAGTTACAAAAGACCATATATTCTAGGCTCTCATTTATATCCAATATCCAGAATAGGCAAATCCACAGACTGAAAGTAGATGAGTGGTTACATAAGGCTGGAGGGAAGAATGTCAAGTGACTGCTAATAGGTACGAGGATTTCTTTTAGGGATGATGAAAATCTTCTGGAATTAGGAATCATAATGATTGATCAACTTTGTGAATATACTAAAAACCACTGTATTGTATTTTCTAAAAGGTGAATCTTATGGTAGGTGAGTGATGTCTCAGTAAAACAGGGTGCTTATTACTTGAGACCTTCTCCATGACCTGGTCGGTGTCAGGACCTATGCAGAGTTCTACGAAAAGCTCCCTGGACCTCCTTGTTCCGTAGGCAGTAGATGATTGGGTTGCACATTGGTGTGACCACCGTGTAGATGACTGATAACACCTTGTTGAGGTCCATGGCTTCTATGCGGCTGGGACGGGCATAGATGAAGATAGTGGCTGAGTAGAAGATGCCCACCACTACCAGGTGGGAGGCGCACGTGGAGAAGGCCTTGCGACGGGCCGCAGCCGATGGCATGCGAAGCACAGCCCTACCAATGGCCACATAAGAGGCCATGGCCACCAGGAGGGAGCCCCAGAGGATGAGGATGGCAGAGATGAAGTCCACCAGTTCTGTCAGGGCCACGTGGGTGCATGAGAGGTTAAGCAGAGGGGAGACATCACAGAAGAAGTGGTTAAGCACATTGGGACCACAGTAGGAGAGGCTGGCAATGCATGTGGTCTTGGCCACCGAGACCAGAAGACCACCAAGCCATGAGGACACAGCCAAGCCCAGGCAGACCTGGGGTCGCATGAGCAGCGGGTAGTGGAGTGGGCGGCAGATGGCTACATAGCGGTCATAAGCCATGGAAGCCAGGAGTGTGCACTCAGTACAGATGAGAGAGATGAAGAAGAAGAGTTGCGTCATGCAGAATGCGAAGGGCACATGGCAGGGCCCAGTCCACAGCCCCGCGAGCAGGCTGGGCATGGTCACTGACACGTAGCACATCTCCAGACAGCTCAGGTTGCCCAGGAAGAAGTACATGGGTTTGCGGAGCTCACTGTGACTGTAGATGAGGTAGATGATGACAGTGTTCTCCAGGAGCGTCAGCAGGTAAAGGGTCAGGAAGACAGCAAACAGGGCATCCCTTATGCCCACCCTAGTGGACAAACCCAGCAGGATAAACTCCTGGACTCTGGTCATGTTGGCCAACTCCAGAGACTTCTCCATCTAAGAATAAAATAAATCTCTTAAGTGTTTGTAGATCTATTTATTTCTCTACATCTTGCTTTGTCTTTGGTCCAAGCCATTGTCTCATTTGAGTCAATGAAATAACCTCTCATCTTGTCCCTTTGCTTCCAGTCTTGCCTTCTATTGTACTTCTTGTAGAAGCTGCTTGTTGCTGCTGGTGGTTGCCAGGGAGTCAACTCCAATTCAGAACTATCCACGGCTTACTGAGCAGAACTACCCCACCTGTTTTCTTGGAGTCCTGGTGTGGCACTGTGGATAAAGCACCGGACTGCAAGGTCAGTTTGAACCACAAAGTCAGCAGTTCAAACTTGCAAGCCCCTCCTCGGAAACCCTATAGGGTCACTATGGGTCAGAACCAACTTGATAACACTTCACAACAACAATCTTAGCAGAAGCAGATTCCTTTTCTTCTGTGGTACCCCTGTGGGTTCAAATCTTTAGGTTAGCAGACAAGAACTGTTTGTACCACCTAAAGATCTGTTGGGGTCTTCAAAAAATCATTGATCATATTGTACCACTCCTCTGTGTAAAACTTTTCACCAGTTCCGTATTACTCTTAAACTAAGCACCAAGTTTCTTACAACAGCCTTTGAGGTCTACTCTCCTTCAATGGCTTCAGTTCATTTAACTCAGTTCATGATATTTCTTCTTCCATTTCCTGAAGTCTTGTAGCTGCCACTTCATTTCCTTAAATGCAACAAGGTCCTTTAAGCTTCAACGAACTCCCACAAGAGAGTCCTTCGCTCTGGACCACCTTTCTCCCCCTGTTCTTGCTTTTCCTATTCCTGGCTTCTTAGTATGTGTGGCATCTGTTTAAATGTCTGTGCTCAGATAAGTCATCCTTAAAAGTCCTGCATCAAACCCACCACTTCTCTGGATCATTACTATCCCCCCTTGTATCCCACTAGGAGTCCCTGATTGGTGGAAACGGTTAAGCACTTGGTTACTAACTGAAGGTTGGAACCCAACAAGAAGTACATGGGAAGAAAGGCCTAGGGATCTGTTCTGAAAGGTCAGTCTTGAAAGTCCTAAAAAGTGCAGGTCTACTCTGCAACACATTGGGTCTCCACGAGTTGGAATTAATGCAACAGCAACTGTGTTGGTATTGGGTGGTGTCCTGATATTTCCTCTCAAAGTAGTTGTTATTATTTGCATGTTTACTCACCCATTCATTGTCTGTCCTCTGGATTCTGAGTCTTGTGAGGGCAGGGATTGTCTGTCTTACCTAGTACTGTATCCTCGGTATCCAGCTAGGAGCATTTGCCTGGCATAGTATAGGTACTCAGTACATGATTGTTTAACATACATTGGGTCAATGTTGCATTTCCAGACATTGCACCTCCCAGTTTCTGTTGTTGTTAAGTGCTGTTGAGTTGGTTTCGACTCATAGTGACTCTGCATAGGATTTCCAAAGAGCAGCTGGTGGGTTTGAACCATTGACCTGTGGTTTGAAGTCCAGTACTGATCCTACAGTGCCATACCAGGAGGTACAGCAAAAAAAAAAAAAAAAAAAAAAAAATGGTAGGTGGTGTTGATTGGAAGCCTTGGGAATCTTTCTAAGAGGCATTTCTGCTCAACCTCTGATGTTTGTTGGCTTTGGAAGGGAATCACTGTAATGTGGCTGAAAGAACATTTATCTTGATATTAGAAAAGCTGCCTCATTTACATACTATAATCTTTGATGTATGCAAGCTTCCATTTTTTCCTCTGTAAAATAGGAAGAAGAGCACTGACTCCATGAGATGTTGTGGATAATAAAATTGAAGGGAAATTTCTGTGTAAATGAGTATTACTTATTACAGAACTAAGTCAGTCTCTTTTTTTAGGCTGCATTTTTAAAACATGACACTGGCTTTCATCGTGTCATAGAAAATCACCCTATCCTCCCCTACTCTGAGTACAACACCTCTATTGATTTAATGGCATTTAGAAGCGAAATTAGGAGTCACTGGGTGGGGCAAACCACTAAGTACTCAGTTATTAGTCAAAAGAGCTGTCATTCAAACCCACCTCGAGTTGCCCCAGAAGAAACACGTGACAACCCACTTCCACAAGACCAGAGCCTTGAAAACTTCATAGAGCCCAGTTCTTCTCCATGCCTGTGAGATGCCCATGAGTCAGAATCAACTGGATGGTAACTAACAACAGTGCCATAAAATTTTACAGCCATGTGTTATAGAAAAAAGCCAACCAACCCAGTGACTTCATGGGAGAAAGACCTGAAGACCTCCTCCCATAAAAGATTACAACCAACAACAACAACAAAACCCTCGGAGACAGTTCTATGAGTAGAAATAGACTCAAAGACACCTACAACAAAAACAACATGGTAGTTTTGTAGAAAAACAAAGGAAGTTTGAGCCCTGATTTCTTCTAGGGAGAAACTTGTCCTCTATGCCCCTTCAACAGAATTCCTTGATACAAAAATGGAAATAACACTTATTGCATATCTCTGTGTTCCTAACACCATACTAGGTTCTTTCCACAAAATATTTTATCCTCAGTAAACTATAAAGTGGTGGTGATGTGGTGGTTATGTGCCATGGAGTCGGTTCCAACTCTTAGTGACCGTGTACAGGGTTTCTGAGGCTGTAAATCTTTACAGGAGCAGAAAGCCTCATCTTTCTCCCATGGTAGTTTCAAACTGCTGACCTTGTGGTCCGCAGCCCAATTCATAACCTCTACGCTACCAGAGCGCCTATAAAGTAGGGTGTCTCATTTCCGTCCAGTCCAGTCACTTCTGACTTGTAGTAGTCCTGTGTGATAGAGCAGACCTGCCCCATAGTGTTTCCTAAACTGTAATATTTATGGAAGGAGTCCTGGTGTGGTGCTGTGAGTTAATGTGCTGGACTGCAAAGTCTCAAGGTCAGTAGTTCAAGCTCACCAGCCAGTTCTCTGAAATCCTATACAGGGTCATTATGGTTTGGAAGTGACTTGACAGCACTTAACAACAACAATATTTATAAAAGCAGAATTCCAGGTCTTTTCTCCCTCAGGAGAACTGTTGAGTTCAAACCTCCAACTTTTCAGTTAGTAGCCTCATGCTTAACTACTTCACCACCAGGTCCCCTTACAAAGTAGGGTATCACTTTCTTGTTGTTAAAATGAAAAGATTGACGTTTCCAGAGACACCCATTAGGAATTGAGGCACTGAGATGTTTCAAGTCAGTTCTGTCTGATTTTACTACCCAGCATTGCCTTGCATGAGCCTGCATTGTTAACGAAAGAGGTAACATAAGTCTTTGGAGTGGATGGAAGGTTCTTTAAGTGGGTTGTCTTTGTGGATTTGGGTCTGTGAACCAGGAGTATCAGAATCACCTGGAGGTGCATTGGAAATGCAGAAGGTTAACCTCCCCCCAGCCCCCATCTATTCAGTCAGAATCTGCATTTTGACAAGACCCATAGATAATTTGTATGCACAGTAGAGTTTGAGAAACATTTGTCTAGAAGACAAAGAAAGCAATCTTCAGCGAAGTCTGTAAAACTCTTGGGTACTGGTCAATAATATATCCTAGCCACTCAATGACTATGCAAAAGAGCTTATTATTTAAAATCTGTTATTGGCTGGTGTAAGCCTGGGAATATACAACTATTTTAACTGAGAATGTGTTTATTGAGTATCACGTCAGAGATTTTAGGCAATTTTCTTGTGCAAGCCTTAAAAACTAAGTCTTGGGAAATATCATAATTTCCCATTCTATGCACTTTACACTTGTTTAAATTTAAAGTGATATTATATGAAATATGTAAAAATGACAAGAAGATAAAATCTTAATAAAGATATACAGGGAACAATATTGTTTTCCTCACATCTCTATACCCCTTTGCAGAAATTATCACTTTTAGCTAATTTCTTGCTTGTTCTTCCTGTAAGATTCTCTGTTAAATCAAAAGTTCTCATGAGCTACTTCTAGAAAATCAGCAATTGAAACCCTACAGAGCAATTCTATTCTGACACACATTTGAATCATTGGTAACTGGTTTGGTGTCCCTACCCTTTTTGGTGTAAAACAGGGACCTCTGAATTCTGGACATGTTATTTACACCCTAACTAGCCTCTGAGAGAGGCACTTAAGGTCTCTGAGTCCCTGTTGACTAATAAACAAGTTCCTGGATTATGCAGAGGCCAAAGTGAAGGCTGGAAATAGTCATCATTATGCCATTTCCAAGGAGCTCTGGTAGCGGAATGGTTACAAATCGGGCTGCAAACCTTAATTAAGGTCAGCAGTTGAAAACTACCAGCTGTTCCACAGAAGAAAGATGAGACTTTCTGCTCCTGAAAGATTTAGAGCCTTGGAAACCCTGCACAGGGTCACTATGAGTCAGAACCGACTCCACGGAATGTCACGACATGCCGTTTTCAGCATTTATCAGTTGCTAAGTTTTATGTTGAGTGTTTTTTTTTTTGAATTCGTATGTTATTCTCATCACAATAGCACTAAAACGTCCCGATTTTAAAGATGTAGAAGCTAAGGACTAGAGAGTCAGTTTCTCCAAGACCTTCCAGTTCCAACTAATAGACCACATATTCAACCAGATCAGTTCTAACCAACTCCTTAGTCCACACCTTTCTCCTTGATTACTTGGGACTTTTTGGTGATGGTTTCACTTGATTTTTTTCAAACAGATTTAGCCAAATATGAGAAGGATTTTTTTTTTTCTTCTGCTATAGGAATAGAGTATTAGAAATGTAAGGGTTATTTCAAGGCACTCAGTTTAACCTTCCCATTTTATATAAGAGGAAGTGGGAAAGAGCTATATGAATGTAAGGGTTGTGGTTGATGTTATGATTATATGGCTTGGAATACACTTGAATCTCAAAAAAACAAAAAAAGTGAAATGGGTACATGTATATCAGGTTTGAATCCTGGACAAAGATTCTAAAGCTAAAATCTTATTTCATCATTCCAGTAAGCTTTCTTGACCTCATTTTACCACTGAGAAGTCATTATTATTATTATTATTATGTAAAATGAAAT